GACAGGTCAAAGGAAAAATAGAATTTTGAGGACATCGTTGACTTAAGTGTGGTGGCACTGTTCAGAAGATTTTATTACAAGTGGCCTGTGTGGGAGTGACTGGCTGTTGTTATGGGCATGTGCCTAGGAACCCCACAGGATAGTGTGGGCCCTAGCTGCAGCCAGAACTCACAGAAGGGACAGTTACTCCTGGCCCACCACAGCAGCTTGCACCTGTTGCCTGTTTTCATTCCACTGAACTTTCCGTGACTAGGTAATTCTAAAACCTATGAACAGTGGGATTCTGTCCTTGGCCATAAGAAGGACCCACAGTCTTAGAAGTTGCCAGAAAGTGACAATCCTTATGGTTTTAGTCTACGGTTTCTTATGTGTGTACACTAGTTAATTATGAAGCTTTCCGGATGCCTAGATTGGTCACATTCAAGTGTGTTTATTCTGTGATTCTACCTTCGTAGTCTGCTTGGTCACTCCAGATGGGGAACGAGACAGTGAGTGGCCGTTCCTTCAGTCAATCTGTGTGATCTTGAGGGTTCGTTGTAAAGACAGGGCAGGTTGCACTTCCGTGGTGGTTGAAGTGATTCAGTTTTTCTCCTTAGGAAATCTCTTTCTTTGGCAACCTAAATGGGATCTAAGGGTAGTGTTGAGGCATCTCCTGTAAGAGCTGATGAAACATGAGCCCATGTCTCTAGTTTAGTAAGACCTCCTGTACAGACCTCCAGGTGTGCACTAATAACAACATGTACAATGCACATGTGTACCTACATGACTTCCAGGCTTGGCTCTTGGACAATTGTAGCTTAATTGTAGTGGACACCCACCTAAAAGACAGTAGTGTATGGCTGCCAATCAGTAGTCTTTTTGAGTTATGACATCACTCTTCTTGATGTCCATTAGTATACAGTAAAGGACTGCAGGTCTCTAATCCATGTTTAAAATATTTAATTTCTCTGGGTTCATTTAAAGAACTATTTTCTATGGTTCATTAAAATAAAAAGGAGGGGGCTAGAGAGACCACTCAGAGGTTAAGAGCACTAGTTGCCCTTCCAGAGGTTCTGAGTTCAATTCCCAGCAACCACATGGTGGCTCACAACCGTCTATTGTGGGATCTGATGCCTTCTTCTGGCATTACATGCAGACAGAGGGCACATATACATAAAATAAATAAATAAAAGGAAGAAAAAGTTTTAATTAAAGTCCATTTTCATTCATGTTGTTAGTCTGTCTGGGATGCATCAGTACATCAATAATAAGTAATTCCTGGCAGTTGGGAATAAGCAGGGAAAAGAACCATAACCCTTTCTGTTCATTGTATTCATGAGATAATAATGGTTAAAAGCCTTTTAAAGAGAGGACACTGGGTGGTACACTCCTGTAATCCCAGCACTTGGGAGGCCAAAGCAGAAGAATCATGCCTTTGAGGTTGACCTGTCAACAGCCCACATCCAAACCAACCACAGAAAGACATTTGGCATCATCAATAGAGTAGCCACCTGAGATTATAGAGCAAACTGACGGGAAAACAGGACCAAGGAAGAGAATTCAAGGGTTTAAAGTTTATAGCTTATGTTGTGAGACCCACCTGCCCAAAGACCAGGCAACTTCCTGGGATTCTGGGAGTTAGAGTTCTTGGAAACTAACAACAAAGCCTCTTGGGAAAGTATGCTGGCCTATGGTTTTGTCCATATAAGTCCCACCAACACATGTCTCCAGGCCACTTACCTGGAAAGTTTCCAGGTGATGGTCCTGACCAAATTCCATTTTGGTCAGTATTTAAAATTTTTATTAAAAGCTTGCTTAAATTCAGCTAAAATGATGGAAACGGTTTTTCTGGCAAATTTCAGGATGAACAGTGTCTTCTGGTAAAGAAGTTGTATAAGTCAGGAAGGTTTCTTGTTCTTGGGTTTGTTTCTGGAAGCTTTCACAGTGTCTCACAAGGAACATAGTAAGTCCTTCATTAATGTGAATTGAATAGAAGGAAGCTGCCATATATGCCAAGAGATGAAGTGTGGATGCCGAGTGAAGAAATGATACCAGGGCATTGAAAGTTGGGATAATAACAGCTAAGTCATAGTTTAGGGACAGAATGGTAAAATGGAGGGCATCGTTTTCAAGAGTATTCTTGTAGATGCTGGAGGGCAGTCCTGGAGGTCTTAACTGTGTGGTGGTCCTCACATACAATGAAGAAGCAGATCTCTCCTGGATCCCTTAAACATGAGGTGGTGAGGGAATAATCCTCATGTTCTTTTTACCTTGTCTTTGTAACTTGTTACTTCTGGTCATCACTGAACCCTAAAAGGAAGTAGTCTCTACAAGAGCAGTTAGGAAAGTTATTTTAAGCTTAACAGGTCAGTACTTCACTGAGATCCACAAAGAGCTCCGTGGACTGCTATCCCAGGTGTTAATGAAACATAGTTCCCCTGGGCCTAGCTAAGAGACAGCATCACAGGAGGTTCTGACAGTAGGATTGTGTTCTGTGAAAGACAAGTCTTATTATGTCGCTTGCCATTCCCCAGGGACTAGCAGCTTATCCAACACCCTTATCTTTTCAGCATTGAGGAGTCCCATCACGTTACCTGCTCCCTTTACCTGTCTTTAGAAAGGGGCCATGGGGAGGGTGATTCTGTTTAGCTGGATTGTGTGGCTGTAACCCTGAAGACTGCCTGGTGTAGGGTGGCAGAGGAGAGAAAGGCAAGTGATTTGTTTCCTTTGTGAAAATATTCCTGCCCAGTTTTTCAGAAATTGTTTTTTACTTAAGGAAGGCTTTTTCTTGGATTAGCTCATGTGAAGAATTTGTTTTTTGAACTGATTGAAACAGTTCGATGACTGCATGAAGATTGTCAGCTTTGGTCTGCCACAATGATTTTTTAAAAATTCTCCTTGTTCAGGATAAAAAAAAATAACTTGTCATGACAACTCATCATCCTAGGAAAAATATGGTGTGTATGTAAGTTTTAAATTATTCAATATTTCAATAATTGAAGATACTATGTAGACTCAGATGATAGAAGGTCTGGGGAGGGCTCATTGAGAGTGTGCATAGACAAGGCCAGAGTGGCAGGCATCAAAACTTTCTTTTTCTTAGCAAATTGCAAATCTTTAGCAGAGTATTTATTAGCATTTCTGGATAAAGAATCAATACTTTTATTTGTTTAATCCAAGGATAATTTGTGTGGGAGCTGTCTACCGTAGGAAAGAGTCAGAACAGGCATTTTCTTTTTAGGTCAAAATTCGGTAGAAGGTTCACATCCACAAAGTGATGACTAGCAGGGAGTATTTGGTAAACACAGTACATTATTCTAAGACATGGAGGTGGCAGGCTGAAAACTGGGCTTTCTAAAGCATCAAATCTCAAAGCCCAGGTGTAGAGAGCTTTTAAACATGGGTTGGGAGCTCAGTAAATGTTAGTTTCTCTGTTCTTCCTGACCGCAGTGGGACATGATAATCATTCTCCATTGTGCTGAAGCATGTGTGGGTGATGGTGCTGTTTGCTAGATTGTTAGGTGGGAGAAAATTAGTTCCTACCATTCAAACCATTCAGCAAATACTTTGTGGCTATGTGATATATAAAGAGCTAAATAAATGAATGGAAAACCAAACATCTTTATGTAACGTTGTATCCTAGGTGCCATGAAATCAAAGCACCATAAGGTACCAGCACAGATCCCTTATGCACCACAATGCGAGGCACCCAAGTTCTGCAGTATGAATGGCACCAGAACAAAGATCTCCAAAGAGTATCAACCCCCGTTCCCAGGTGGAGCTTCACACAGGAGATAACTATCCAGTCAATGACCATATCACTCCGCACACACAGGATCTCATCTGGTCTTAGAAGCTAAGCAGAGTCAGGCTTGGTTAGCCGTTGTGTGGGAAGAGTGCAGACTTGGACTCCGAGGTCCCGTGGGTCCATCATGGAAGACAATGGATTTGAACAGACAATAGTATGAGTAGGTAGGGATGTGAGTGGCAGTTGCTCTGATATATGTATGTGTGTATATCTTTGTGGGTGGGTGCACTTTTGTGTGCCCATGTGCAGACATGCGTGCATGTCTGTGGAGGTTAGGAGACAGCTTTTGACGTCATTCTCAGGTGTTAACCACTTTGATTTTTGGGACATGGTCTCTCACTGGCCTGTAGACTAAGTCAACTGGCCAGTGAGTCTCAAGGATCCACCTGTCTTCACCTTCCTGGTTCTGGGATCACGAGCTCATGGCACCGTGCCCATCACCTTCCTGGTTCTGGGATTACAAGCGTATGCTACCGTGTCCATTTTTTTTCTTTCAACATGGGTTATGGGAATCAAACGCAGGCCACATGCTTGCAAGACAAAGACTTTATGGAGTGATCTGTCTCTCTAGTGCCCCGACACTTAGATCCTCCAAATTCTTTTCTTTATTTTTGTCAGTTTCATGTATGTATACATTGTATTATGAACATAATATCTTAGTGAGAAAAATACCCTTGTGGGGCTGAAGAGAGATAACACACGAAGTGTGTAAGAGGCAGACCGGGGGTGAGGGTTGAGTTGACCCCAGTGACTCACTTTCAGAGGGAGGATGTGATTTGGGGAGATTTGTCTGCTGAAGTTTGAAGGACAGTTTTGGGGGAGGGGGTGGAGCTGAAGGGCAGGAAGGTCATCTGAGAGGGGAAGCAGCAGCCCTTGAGGTGGAAGTGAGAGGGCTGAATGGGAGTGGTGCAGGAGAAATGGAATCCCAGTCTCATCCAGAGTGAATTGAGGGGGCTGAAGACACAGCTTTCTGCCTTACTGCTGTGGCTTGTACTCTCTGAGGCAGGAGCCTGATTGGAGTGACAGTGACCAGGTGCTCTGAGGAGAGCATACGGAGTCTAATCCTGTGTGACCTGTGACTTGAGGTTTATTAAATTAATCTTTTAGTGTGGACACTTCCTAGACCTGACACTTGCATGTACTTTGCTTTTTTTTTTTTAGTTCAGAGTATGTTTGAGTCTAATTTCCCTCATTTTTTTTTCTTTTAAAATAGACTCTCTCAAGAAGAATTTCCAATCCATACCTTGAACACACTCCTTCCCAGGTATGAAACTGTTTCTCTTTCCTTCTGTGTTTTTGTAATGGTTCACAGACGCTCATGGAGAACTTTGTGTTATAGCTGTCTGACCTCCCGGACTTTTGTAGGGATAATGCACTCATCACACCGGCTTCCCCACCAGGGGAGGCCAGTGAAGATAGTGAGATTCCATGATCATTGCCAGGACTCCTGATGCTCGTGACATAAGAAATAACTATTTTCCACATGCTTTGCAGTAAGCTATCAATGTGATGGAGTAAATATGCATCCTTCAGTTTTTGTATTGATGGAAACACCAGAGTTTACAGACAGTATACACTGAACACAGAACTTCAGTAATAGGAGATGTCTGTGTAGTTACCTCTAAGGACATTGTCCCCTGTGTGATCACTGATGATGAGACGGGGCATGCTTATTGTGTTGCACTTTCCCATTCTTCAGAACAGGAGACAGAAGGCAAGGACCTTTCCTGCCTTGCTCTTCACTGTGTTGTGCACCTGGAACAGAACATGTGCTTGTCAGCTACTCATTAAATACTTCACGAGTGACTTATTGAGTGAACCTTGTAGATGTCAGGACTAGTTAAGCATCAGCTGACTCATGCCTCTGCCTCAGTAACTTTCTGTCAAGTAGCTTGTTCAAGATTTGACTTTTAAAAACATGCCAACAGGGAATGATTTCTGACCCTCTTCTTTTCTCATCAGATTGCATTCCAGTGATGATACTGGGAGAATTAAGTATGAACGCTTACCTTCATTGTAACCAATATAGTGTCAGTTTGTTTGCTTTAAAAAAGACATAATATAAAATATTTGTAGGCAAAGAAATAGTTACTAAGAGGGCCTGAGGTATAGCGCACTTGCCTTGCTTCACAAGGCCGTGAGTTCAAACCCAGCAGAGCCAGAAAAAGGAGTTCACCAAAAGCAAATAGGGCTGGAGAGATGGCTCAGCAAGTAAGAGCACTGACTGTTCTTCCAAAAATCACAGGTTCGATTCCCAGCATCCACATGGTGGCTCACAACCATCTATAACTCCAGTTCTTCTGACTTTCAGAAGCATCCGGCCCACACATGTACAGCACACATACAAACATAAATGTATTCAGGGAAAAATGGTCATACACATAAAAACAAATCTGTAGGTCAATAAATTTCACAATAAGAAAAGGGGAAACAAATGGAAAGCTGTAAGCATAAAGCGGTGTACAATGATTTTCATGATCATTAACCTTGTGAAGTTAGCTAATTGCATTTCGCCTCCTTGGCTTGTGAAACAGCCTTGTATAGAAGAAAGTGCAGTTGGAGGTAGTTTTAAAAATAGAGCCCAGAGCCCTCCAAGAGGCACCTTCCCTCCTCTCCAGGGACCAGAGACTCAGATGGAGGAAGGAGAAGATTAAGGAAAGAAGTTAAATGAAATCTCTTTCTGAAAGATAGAATTGTGAAGTACTGCAGATGAAATCAGAACATTTGGAATTAGCTGTTGAACTCTGCAGTTGAGTGATGCTTCGGGGAAAGTAGCCTGCTGGGGCATTGCATCCTGCTTTAGTTATGCACTAAGTGGGGACATACCTTCCAAGGGCTTTTATATGCGTGACTCATCAATATGGCCAAGTTAGTAGATTAAACGATTTGCTTGTGATTAATCTACACAGATCAATGACTCCAGTTTGTTGCAGTGACTGGAACACTATTTTCAAAATGTGGATGTCTTACACTGAAAACTTCATGTTTTAAGACAACATTGCTTATGATTATAGTTAGGTAAAGACCTTTACATTTGGAAAATAGTTATTATAGTTTAATAGCGTAAGTGGACCAGCAGCTAAAATAAAATAAGGTAATTATAGGCCTGTAGTTTCATAGGCTAAAATGTGTCTGAAGCTTAGGGAATTAGTCATGATGCTTTATATATATAGCATGCTATTGGGAACTCACGGACTGTCACATTATTGTTCCACATTTACAATGATTGTTTGTCTTTTCTGCTTAGATTTATGGAGAGAATTCTTCTTGTGCAGGCAGAGCGTTAAGGAACATTATTATCGTTCAAGCAGCTGACCTGGTAAAGGACAGAGTGAACCTCAAGGGGTTTTACAGGTAACACAATTTCTTAACACCTTGTCAAAAGTCCTCCTCGAGGGAAGAAAATCCAGCCAGCCTAATTGTAACCTTGAGCGTAGAGTGTCAGGCTGTCTCAGTATTAGCAGTTGGAGGGACAGATGTGTTCTGTCTGCTGCGGATCCTAAGGGTGTTTACTTATGGTCATGTTTAGGTTTCTGGGTCTGAAAGGATGTAAAATTCCTAACTATAAGGGTTGTCTCTTTTTTCATTCTCCTGAGATGTGGGTTCATGCTACACTGGGAACTTCAAGAAACATAGGCCCCTCCACACTGGAGACATTGTCAAGTCTCTGGAAAGGCTCATAGGCAGAGAGAGAGAGAGAGAGAGAGAGAGAGAGAGAGAGAGAGAGAGAGAGAGAGAGAGAGAGTGCTGTTCAAATCCTCCAGGTGAGAATGAGCTACACCCCACACTGCAGCATGGAGTGGGAAGAGGCAGTTTGTCTCCCTGGGTCAGTGAATAAGGGTAGTGGTGTGAACAGTAAGGGCAGGCCAGTCTTAATACATGGCTGGACCTCCAGTGAGGTCAGTTGGAGAGTTTGGAACATATGTTTCATTCTTGTGGAATATTAAAACAAAAGAATATGCTATTGCCTTTTTATTTTGCTACATGAAGATGGAATAACACTGAATAATACTGAAAGAAAATCATAAAAGTAAAACCAAGAGAAAAAATTACCACTGATTGTCACTTTTCTTAAAAAGATGACGTTGACATAACAGAACAGGGACAGCCGTCAGATATCACAAGGAGGAGGACGTGTTCTCACAGTGAAGGGTGCTCCTCTAAGTCATAGAAGTGTAACTTACAGTCACTTTACCATCCCTGTTGTTTTCATCGGCCACAGGAAACAAGTGTTTCCATTGGAAACATTTCACCATGGCCCGGATCCTGGGAATGGTGAATCCCAGATATCTGGAGTAAGAAGACTCTTGTTTGAGGTACAATTTATATAAAAAAAAAAAAAAATGCACAGATCTTAAGTGCATGGCTTAATACATTTTTATTTATACACCTATGCATTCATTAATCTGTGTATCCATTATTAAGATACAGAGGATGTTTACATTTTAGAAAGTTCCCTCATGACTCTTAACTGTAGCTAGAGTTTTCCTGCCTGGCCCACAGTCAGGACAAATCTCTCTCACCTGCCAGTCCCACAGCTGCTCAGTAAACACAGAGACTTATATTGCTTACAAACTGTATGGCCGTGGCAGGCTTCTTGCTAACTGTTCTTATAGCTTAAATTAATCCATTTCTATAAATCTATACCTTGCCATGTGGCTCCGTGGCTTACCGGCATCTTCACATGCTATTTGTCATCGTGGCGGCTGGCAGTGTCTCTCTCTCAGCCTTCCACTTCCCAGCTTTATTCTCCTCCTTGTCCCGCCTATACTTCCTACCTGGCCACTGGCTAATCAGTGATTTATTTATTGACCAATCAGCAACACACTTGACATACAGACCATCCCACAGCACTTCCCCTTTTCTTTTTTTTCTTCAAAAAGGAAGGTTTTAACCTTAACAAAGTAAAATTACATATAATTTGGGAATTTGGGCGTAGCTTCTCTTACTACTTCCTGCTGGAGGGGGGCACTGTATCTTATGGGGACACAAAGAAAATTTTAGGATTCTGGAATAGTCCATGAGGCTGTATTGTCTGAGCCAGTTGCCTTCAAACCATTCTGGATGTTGGATCATCTGGGCCATGGTGTCATTGGAGACCTTTCAGGGGGTCTTAGCTGGTCAAACCTGATGTATCTTAATCTGGAACAAATCCATAGCCTCTGACTTTCTGTGGGAACAAAAGCAGAGTCTCCTTTCCAAAGCAACACATCCTTACATCCAAATTTTGAAGTCAAGGTATCTTTAAAATATACATATTGGTTTAACTCAACATCTTTTATGATCAAATGTTTTTTTGCAGTTAAAAATCCCAAAGACAACACAATTCAGATTCTCTGTGTAATATTCATCTTTACGTGGCTTGTTTTTTATATTAATTTTACTGTCTCTTTAAAGACTTTATTTTTTAAAACTATGTATTTGTTTATATAACTGTATATATCACCTTTTTTGTCTCTTTCAAGCCTACGTATATTTTACACACATTGTAAATTATTACATCTGAATCTGTCTTATTGTGAATCTATTGCTTTAAACTGCAGCATTTGTGGCTGCTGGCTCCGCCCACCTCAGCTTCCCAACTTGGCGGTGGTACATTTTCCATCAGCTCTGGGCGCTATCGTGGGTCTATGCTTTTATCCAAGCAGCGTGTAGCCCCGAAATCTCTTTTTTTTGTTTTGTACTAGCAAAAGCTAAATCCACCACACAGCTTAATGTGCCACTTGCAGAGGCCTCATTCCCGCCATACTGCAGATCAAGCGCGCACACCAGGAACCCACCATAGTAACTCAAACACAAAGGCTGTCGCTAACTTGAGAGAGACAACTAAGAACTGTCTTTAGCTCCGTTTTAGAATCTTTTTTCTCAGTTTTTAGGTGGAAACTCTTGCCCCACGTTGGGTGCCATTTGTAACTAGAGTTTTCCTTCCTGGCCCACAGTCAGGACAAATCTCTCTCACCTGCCAGTCCCACAGCCGCTCAGACCCAACCAAGTAAACACAGAGACTTCTATTGCTTACAAACTGTATGGCCGTGGCAGGCTTCTTGCTAACTGTTCTTATAGCTTAAATTAATCCATTTCTATAAATCTATACCTTGCCATGTGGCTCCGTGGCTTACCGGCATCTTCACATGCTGTTTGTCATCATGGCAGCTGGCAGTGTCTCTCTCTCAGCCTTCCACTTCCCAGCTTTATTCTCCTCCTTGTCCCGCCTACACTTCCTGCCTGGCCACTGGCCAATCAGTGATTTATTTATTGACCAATCAGCAACACACTTGACATACAGACCATCCCACAGCACTTAATGGTAACCAGTTTCTGAAAAAAAAAAAAAAAAAAAAACCAAACAAACAAAAAAAACTTAATGTTTTATTAGCAATTAGCAATTATGCCTAATGGGATTCATACTTGTACACAATGACTATCACTCATAGTCACCTCCACCCCTGCTGCTGTCATGCCCCAACTCGCACTCTTGTTGGTCTCTTCCTGTCTCCCACGGGCCTCCCTTCTACTGTCATGTCTCTTTTGGAAGTGGGGGTGATGGGGGCAAAGACTTTCATTAGGGTTGTTTACATGGGTGTAGTGGGAGTTTGTTCCCAGGAGTATGGGTACTTTACCAGTACCTCACAACACTGAAGGAAATGATTCCTTTCCTTAGCAACTTTTAGCAATTATAAATCCCCAGGAAGGGGTGGGACCCAATGAGTCCTCCCCTTTCTATGACATGGTGTTGAGAAGCCCAGTCTTGTGAAGAACTTGAGCACATAAACACAGCTGTTGTGAGTTCAGTAGCACAACAGGCAGCTTAAAGGAGAAAGAGTCCATGATGGCTTATTGTACCCGAGGAGGGGGGGGGACTCCATGATGGCAAAGGGGGTAGGGGTGGGTAGCAGCAGGTGGATGAGGCAGGAAGCTGAGAGATCACATCTTCAACCACAAGCATGAAGCAGAGAGAATGAACCGGAAGTGAGGCTGGACTGTCAACTCTCAAAGCCTGCTCTCACCAATGCTTTCCTCCAGCAGGGCTTCACCTTCTAGAGTTTCTTTCACTTTCCAGACAGTGCCCTCCCCTGCACCCAGTGTTCACATACATGAGCCTACAAGGGACATGTACTCATTCAAACCTCCGAATCCAGCCACACACACACACATTAAAATTAAAAACAAAAGTAAATGACGTCACGTATAGTCACATCTGACTCTCTTTAAAACTAACATTGTATACGTAAGTCTTCATGTCTAATTTTAAGCAAGCTCAAAGAATTCATGTCAATTCACGGTGAAAGCTTTGGAAAGTTCCTATTCAATTTTTACTATAGAAAAAGCATGTTGGTTGCCAAGACCTTATTTCTTTTTATGTAGATGAATCACTAAATACCACCACCCTGTTTATGTTTTAAAGTTTAGTATCGGTGTTACCACAGATAGGTTGCAAACCATAGTGGGAAGAGAAGAAGGGGTCAAGAGAAAACAAATTTCCACTCCAGAGATGGGTACAGTTCAGCTGTACACAGGAGCACATGGGTCTATAGCTCGTCACCTCCATATGGCTGTTCTGCTACCTGGTATCATGGCTCTGGTTAGATCTGCATGTACCCTCACAGCTTCTGGATAGAGTACAAGACTGGAAACACACCACAGCTACGAGCTGCTGGCAGTATTTACATCACTCTGCACCCACAGTCTCAGCTCTCATCCTTCCTGCTCTCCTCTGCCCTGTAGATTTAGGTTTTTAACTGGATTGTTGTAGACCTGGTCAAAAAGTCAGGGGATTAGGAATTAAATGCATAACAGCTTATCTCATTTTATTTGCTTTAAAGATATTAAGGATAGCATTTCTCTTTGTCCCTAATGTTTTTCGTGGTCAGATGGATGATAGGAACAGTTTAAAACATAGTGATGAGATTTAGGGAGGGGCAGGAAGGGACCACATGGAATTAAAACAGTAACTTGTTGGGGAGTGGTACCCAGTTTTTCATTAAGGTTGTCATGGCAATTCTGTGTTTTAGCATATTGTTCCCAAGCCTGTGCCTCAAACAGGGTGAACCCTTCCTAAGGAGAAAGGGCAGCTGGGGGATCTGGGCTTTGTGGTCACCAGCAACACCTAAGAGGTCTGATGGGAGTGGGTATCTCAGTTTCCATGTGGCTTTGATGTGTCAGAATCCACAGTGGACAGCACCTGTGCCCTTCCACCCTGGAACTGCTGGGCACAGTGTTGTTGAAAAGGCCTGAACTGGGAAACCTCTTCATGGCCACCTGTGCTCAGATAGGCACAGCTACCACTTAGCTACCTGGTACAATGTAGAGGTTTGCTTTGTTGAGCAGATGTTGTATTGTGGGCTTCTGTGTTTTAAGCAGACACTCCGAGAAGGCTGATGAGCCTCTGTGTTTTGAAAATGTGAAATAAAAAAGATGACACAGTATTTAACCCACGGACAAAAGTGCTTTCAAAAGCCGAAGGTGCTGACTAATTGAAAGCAGCATTGAGAAATGAGTTAATTAACACCTTGATCCCTTATCGTGAAAGTTGTCCTGTAGAATTAGGTTTAGTATTGACCATTTGGTCTAATTGCTTGTTTTCTTGCCACCTGTGTTCTCATTTAAAAGAATCCATATATCTGAATGCTTATCTTTCTATCGTTTTAATGGTAGCCTGCCACTGAACATGTCTGGAATTGGCTTCATTGCCTTGGAGTATCTTTCAAGTAGTGACACTTTACCAAAAATCAAAATGCTTTAACAAAAGCTGGGTTATTCAATCCAGTAGCTCAGCGGAAGTACAGCACTTCACGGCAAGTCTTATCTGTGTCACTCACAAGAGGTAGCAAACACATTTCTGTAGTTTAGAAATACAAGACAACACTACCTTCTCACCCCTTAGTAGTGTCTGTAGAATAAGGGTCAACCCTGTATGACACATTCCTTCCTCCCTCTTCTTTGTCTGTCTTCTTTCTTCTTTTCTTACAGCACTCAAATTGCCTTTTTGAATGAGAAAAAGAAAAATTCAGACACCTTTGCAAATGAAAACCTGTATTTCAGGAAGTTTTCTTCTGTCTTTTCCTGAGGCCCACACAAACGGAAAAGCTGGTTTGATGATACTGCTTGTAATAGTGTGTGGGATTTGGTGTGTGTTTCAAATCTGATTACAGAGATGACTGTGTGTGGTTAGTGGAATCCAGCACACACATCTGGCTTCCTGGGTTTGTGATCTAGGCTGCTTAATGAGGTTGCTTTGGTTATATTAAAACGATTAACAGTCAAGTTTATTGTTCATTGAAATAAGTTTAGGGGTTCAGTCTTCAAAGGAAAGTGAACAAAACTCTATACTGCAATCTATGGTCCAGTTTTGTTGAACCTTTATGGAATTATTTTATTACTGAAGGAGCAGGCAAAAATCTATAAATGCTTGAGTGAAAATTCATCATCACCAATTTGAAGTCCAATATTGAGACAGAAGTATTACCTTTACAAAAAGAGCTGCTTAATTTTATTTCTTCATTTGTTCAAACAAGTATGTTTCAAGAACTTAGTATGTGCCGTGAACTCTTCTAATTTCTGGGGATTAGTAAGGTACACAGATTGTCTCAGTATCTAAAAATCATATTCTAGTAACAGAGTAGTGGGAGTAGATATTCATATAGAAAGATACACAATTACTTTATGTCAGGTAGCTTAAAATGTGTAAGCAAATTTTGTTCTTAATCCCAAGGAAGTAATACATAAGCATTCACTGGAAGATGAGAAAAGACGATGTCTTTTTGTTTTTTCTTGGCTTGCTTATTTTAAAACAAGAGCTCATGAAATGAATGGAATCAAGTATTAATATTTTATCTTCAAAATTTCTCATTGCTTGTGGCTTTGTTTTGGTCCAGGAGAAGCTGCGTGGGGTCAGAGTTGGTCGACTGGCTTCTAGAACACTGTCCTTTTGTCCAGTGTAGATCTATGGCCATTGGGGTCTGGCAGCTCCTACTGGATATGGGGATTATGTCATCAGGTTAGTGTTCCATACTTTGAAGACAGAATCACTGCTTTGTTAAACTGCTAGACCAAAACATACTTGCTCTTCCAGAGAATGTTATAATCTGGATGGAAATTGTTTTTGAAGGTAAATGTTTACATTTCTTATTTTCTGGGTGAAAATGGCAGGTCATTTTTGGTTCATTTGTTTTTGCTACACCTTCTGTGAAAATAGTTGGGCACTTGTCGATTGTAGACTTAAGCCTGTAGAAGGCAGTGCCTTCCCTCTCTTGTCAGCTCTGCTCACAAACTTCTTTTGTTGCTTCAATTGAACGGTTTATCGTGCTGTATGTAATCCGAAACTGATTTATGAGTGTGTGTGTGTGTGTGTGTGTGTGTGTGTGTGTGCACGCGCGTGCGCGTGCACGCACGCCATTTTAATTAAGTAATCATGAACACTTAGATATGTGAACTGTGAAGATTAGTTGTTCAAATGGGACAGAAAATGATGTTTAAGTAGCAACTAAAATAGATGGCAATCTCTCTTTTCTTAGTTGAACTCAGAGAATTGAAGGGGTAGAAGCCAAGCAATTTGTTCTTTATTTATTTCAGTCTCTCAGGTGCTGGTTGGTACTGAGAAGCCCTTTTTTCTGTAGATAATACATGTTAAGGGCAACTCCTGGTGTCGTTGTGAAAGAATGGTACAGATGGAGGCATGTTTGTAGTCTTCTTAGTAACACGTAGCCCCTAATACTCTCATTTGGAAAGTCAGTTAACTGTTTGTGAGGAGTGGAGCTGTTATTAGCTCCTTGGCTAGCATCAGGCTTCTGGTTGGTGACACATTTTGTGTAAATGCCTTTTGGAACCATCTCTAACTTTCAATTCCTTTAAAACAGGATTTCCCAGCATTGACAGTATTGGCATTTTGAGTTAGACAATTCTTTGTTGTGGGAAGACTGTCCTGTACATACAGGATTTGTGGCAGCATCCATTTCTTTTTCCTTCTAGATGCCAGGAGCACATCCTTTCATTATGCCTACCAAAAATGTCTCTAAACATCACCAAGTGTCCTCTGAAGCAGGGGCACAGTCATCCCCGGTTGAAAGCCTCTAATTTTGCTAACCGAAACTTGCTATCATGCTGTGATTGTATGGCATTTCTTGCCACCCTCTTTGAGTTGATATTGATTTGACCAGCACTTGTCTGTGAAGCAGAAAACTTATAAACTATATGTGAATATATTGGTCAAAGTTTAAGCAGTGAATTTGATTAGCCAATGTGTCCTTTCGTTTTATTGAGAGTGTAAGCATGAATGAAGCTCAAATGTATGTTATCTTACCTTTGGTTTCTCCCTAGTCATTGGACTGTTCGCTTTATTACTTGATTTATGACTCTAAAACATAACATTTTTGTTTGTTTGCCTCAAACAGTGGACCAACATCTGTACTTTCAAGATAATTACGTTTTCTACCAATTTTCTTCGGATGAATGTAGCTACTTGTACTGTGAATTTGAAAGAGAAGAAGAATGGCAAAATGGAGTGAGGCTTCTGCTGCAGCTTGTGCATCTCATTCCTGCTCGAGCTGGTGTCTGTGACCTGTGAGTAGGTGCTCCTGGGTACCATTGTCAACTCTTCTTTCTTAGAGGATGGGTCCTATATCCTGGGACTGTGCTTTGCTCCTTCACATCACGATCTTGTTTGAGTGGTAGGAATACTATTACTAAGTTCAGAAAGGTAGGACGCATTGTTGAAGATTCATCCTAGCTCCTACATGGCTGCATTGCTATTCTGATCTCCGGCATGTGTTGCTAAAGTTTTCCTGCCTGGCCCACAGTCAGGACAAATCTCTCTCACCCGCCAGTCCCAAGCCGCTCAAACCCGATCAAGTAAACACAGACACTTATATTGGTTACAAACTGTATGGCCGTGGCAGGCTTCTTGCTAACTGTTCTTACAGCTTAAATTAATCCATTTCTATTAATCTATACCTTGCCACGTGGCTTGTGGCTTACCGGTACTTTACATCTTCCTTATCCTGATGGCGGCTGGCAGTGTCTCCCCCTCCAGCTTCCTGTTCTCTCAATTTTCCTCTCTGTTAGTCCCGCCTATACTTCCTGCCTGGCCACTGCCAATCAGTGATTTATTCATTGACCAATCAGCAACACATTTGACATACAGACCATCCCACAGCAGGCATGCTTGCTCCACCAGCTGTGCCATGATGCTTCTAATTCACTACTAAATGAGTAGATGATCTAAATTAGGTATAAACATATGATTGGGCTGAAGTTGAATGGTATAATAACTCACATCTTATCCACTATCCAAGTCGTGACTGCGCTAAGAAGGGGCTCAATAGACATCTCTGAAAATAATCTAGAAGCAACGTTTGGCAAATTAAGACATGTGAATCATTATCACATGAAGGTAGTGAATCACTGTATGGTTAAAATAATTAGAAGCAGCATCCTTGAGTCGTGATATGGGGATTATGACATGCCTTGTGTGTCTTTGGCAGCAGTGACAAGCTTATTTCAGAAAGGAGTTGCAGATTGAAATGCCAGTTGAATCACTCTTAGCTGCAGAACTCTCCAGGGATCAGAAGGCTGTCCCATATTGTTGACTCTTCTCGCTTTTTGATATTAGTAAGGCAAGTGGAACTGTCCTTCCTTCTCAGATGAGAATATAGCTTTCAGGAGATGCATTCCTGTGGTCATAACAGACATCACTTACTTTTATTAGCTGAAAAGTGACACTTCAGACTTTTAGCAAAGGGAAATCTTACATTAGCAATACATTTCTGATAGATAGAAAAGTTGAGTGTCAGGAATATGCTTCATGTCAGGTACTGCACTAAACAAATTTCAGAAAGATTCTTTAAGACGGGCCCTGTTAATTTCCATTTATAAGTGAGGAAACTGAGTCACAGAGTTCAAGTAATCTGTCCAAGGTCACATAAACGGGGTGGGGTATAGTTTTAGTGTTTGACTTTACATCTGTCTACCTTTAACACCTCGGCTTTCTGTACCTGCTGCGATGTGTTCTCAAAAGTTAAGGGATAATACTAGCATCCCTTCCGAGAACTGTAAGCACAAGTCTTGGAAATGTCAGACTGAACTGTGAAGTGATCAAGGGTTTGTCACCACCACTGTTGACCTCGCAACAGTAGTATAAATGCCAGTGTCACTGCATTAGCATGGCATGGAATATCCTTTATTGTGATGTGTTCTTCGTAGAGGTCAGACAGATCTAAGGGAGGTCAAGGCACACATCAGTGAACTCCTCGGAGCTCTCTAAGAAGTGGTGACAGGCTTTTTAATCAGACACAGTCATGATGACTGACCTTAACTCTGAATGAAGGACTGGCCTTCTCTGGCAGCTTTCTTCTACCATTTCCTGTCTTGTGTACATGATGGAGGTGTGAAAGATCCCCGGGTACATTCAGATTAAGTGGGGCAGGAGGATAGTGAATAATATTCCAAGTTGTCGTGGTTTAACTGACCCCACCTCCCCCACCTCCCCAGATAGCAAATTGAAATTCCAGTCAGTGAAATAGCCTTGTGATGTGTAAATCCAAAACTGCGCTAATTCCTAAAAGTGACAGTTATTTTAAAAATTCAAGCCCTGATATCAATTTTAGATTGATTACAATCTTTTGTCACATTGATTACTATGGATGCAAAGTCAGGTCCCAGGGTTCGAACCAACTATAGAATGCCATGTTCACCAGCAGGTTTTGTCCATTTGATGGGAACGTGAGCATTTGGTCACAGTCACTAACTGGTACAAACGGTCACTGGAGAGCTAAGGACCTGCTTATTCTTATTATAAGTACCCAGCATAAAAGAATAAGGTTACTAAACCACAATTCTCTTCAGGACAGAGAAGATATATCCTTCCTGTATTAGAGATGTGAGCCAACTTCTGAGCAACCGTAGAATATTCTTAGATTTCTGAAGACCAGACTTTGAGCTATCCCACTTGGAATAAAGGACAGTCAGAGAAAAGATGCCCAGGGACATTGCCCTCTTCCAGTTGAATTGCCACAACACCTCTCCGGCTCCTGCGACCTAGAAATCTCCGTTGTTGCAGTCTGCAGCCCACACTGTTTATCTTCTCCTGCTAGTGTTGTGCTCTGTCCTGCCTTTCTTTCCTTGTTAAATTCTGCCCAACCCTCAAGGGGGAGCCCAAGACCTACCTTGCCTGAGAAGTTTCCCTGATGTCCTTGGGTGTCTTGGACTTGCTCTTGGTAAACCACTGCTCTTGCTGTTGGTAATTTTAAAAGGAAAATCCATTCTTCTGTGTCGTTCTTAGCCTTGTGTTGTTTCACTTTTATTCCTTCTAACTGAAATGCCCTCTGAAGTCCTTTTGATTCTTACGTTTTTCCATTTATGAACTAAACCCCCCACCCTGTGGTGCTTTTAATAACCTTTTTGATATTTGAAAGCTATTAAGGTCTACCTACGCAATTCCACATTAGGTCCCCCTAATTTCCCATCCTCTCTAAATGACTTTAAAATGATGCCAGAAAACCACTTAATGTCCCTCTATAAACACACATCTGTTCTGTACAAATGTATTTTTAAAAAGAAAAAAAAATAAAGGGGATTTTATATTTTTAAAAAGGATGTCTAGAGCAGAAAGAGAGATGGAACTGTGCAAGCTTGCTGCCTAGTTTGAGGAAACACATATCCTGCTCTCTATGACATAGTTCTTATGCCCCCTAAAAGAGACAATTTGAAAGGATTGAGTTGGTTGGCAGGTTATCGCCTCGGGGAAAGGCACTAGTTGTAGTGCCTCATTCAGACAGAAGCCCAATTAAGTTACTCGGAATGAACTTCTTCCCGACTCTCATTTTTTATTTTGGGTGGGAGGAGAGGAAAATGAGTGAAGATGGAAGAAATAACAGTGTCAAGAAAGACAGCCTCATAATTCCATTAGGACTTACGTGATTCTTGTTTCTAATAAGAACCTGCTTGAGAGTTGAGGCTTTGTGAAGCCAAGGTCAGCTCAGGTGCAGTATGGTACCTCTCAGCTTGCAAGGGTGGAGAGGCTGGGCTCTGAGCAGTCTGTCATTGACCCTGAATACATAGAACCATAGCCTTCCAGGTACAGACAAGTAATATTTATACTATTAAAAGACTTGCTGAGGATTGCTAATGCTCAGCTCAGGTGATTCACAGGATATGTAAAGAATAATCTAGTTTTTTGCTACGGGACCTAGTGTGTTATCTACAATAACACCCATCCTTTTGGGTGGCCAGAGAGTCCCTAATTTTGGTCTAATACAGTAAAGTTATTCAGATGCAGTGTCTGCTTCTTTCCCTGCTCTTCCACAAGATGCCCTGTGGGATATGGTGGGGGAGGGGGGGAAGGAGGGACGTTGTTACTTTGAGAGAGGAGAAGTGGAGTCTTTCCTGTCTGAGAGGAGGCTTTCTCCATTTAAAACTTCCTTGTGCTGACTGCATGACTACTGTGTTCCCAAGTAAAGTGTTGACCTTCAGTCCTGGTCTTCCGGGACAGTCAGCTCCTTGACACTATGATGCTGCTCTTGAAAGCAGCCTCTGCACTTGTTCCCTGGGACGGCAGCTGTTGACTCTGCCATCTCACTGGTCACTGCTTATGCTTCCTCTATGACTGGGTGGACTCTGTGTTCCAAGGCTGTGCAGTTCAGGGCCTTGCTTGACCCTGAGGAGACGCCCTTCCAAAGACCTTCGGATAGTAAAGGGCTCATTTGTGCAAGTCCTTTTCATACATGGAGTCTGCATCTTAATCTTCTCTTTGGGGCTTTCCACTTGCCCTGAGCACTGCAGGTACCAGGCGACTAGGGACAGCCCCTGTTTCCCAGAGTCAGGTAAAACTATTCAAACTAGCCCTTCTTCAGTCTGTTTAATCCTGCCTCACTTGGTTCCCGTGGGAAACACAGAAGACGGTTCTTGTCTGTGTTTTCTATCCTATCTGCCTTGCTGATCCTGGGCCTTCTTCCTCTTGTAGCTCCTTGGTGTGACATGTCTCCTCCTCCTCCTGGAAGCTGTGAGTAACAGATTGCCATTTCAGTAGCATTTCCGATCTCCTGGCCTCTCGGTATTCAGGTTGGCCACACCTGAATAATAGTAAAACATAGTTTAAAACCCTTACCTCTCTTTGATGGTCTCCGCTTTGCATTCAGCATCAACTCTACAGAAGTGGCTTCCAAATCTCAGGCCCCAGTGCCGCCTCAGCATCTGGATAACAGCATTGCCTACCTGCTAAGACCCCTTCCTGCCCCCTCACTCTCCTACCCTGCCATAGTTTTTGTCCGACACACATAAGCAGCGCAAGGAATTCTGTTTCCTGAGTAGCATGTGCTTCATAGCTCTGACCTGGGAATCCCAAGTTCAGACCTGTCATTCATTCCTGTCCAAATCTACCCTTTGTCCTTCCGACTCTTCCTAATTAGATTCTCAGGACATTTGGACAGGAAGCAAATACCGTCTGTGTAAACAAATACTTTTTGAGTAGTAATTTTTTTTTTCATAATGGAACTTGGCATGTTTTGCATTCAGATCATAGGTGAAGAGAGTTTCCATTTATCTCTTTAGATTGTTATAAGATTAAACTGGTCCTATCTTTGTCATTTCTCGTTACCCCACAGCCATGGAGGCGCTGAGTTCCCCCAGGTTTCCGTTGTTTGTAGACAAGGCTTATTCCAGGTGCTTACCATTAACAGACCACGTCTATATTTGAGAGTAGTGCGGGGATTCTAGCAAAATTTGAACTTTTGTGATTGCTTGTATTAGCATTTGAAATACAGCTGCTTAATTAAGTGGAAGGCATTTATCTTCAAATCCCCAAAATAAAATGTGAAAAAGAGATCCAAGGACACCTGATTTTATTCAGCTTTAGGTTGGTTTTATTGCTGTGTACCTGGGCCCAGGAAGCCCCTGACAGTCAGTTTCTTGCTGCTCAGAAGATTCCTTCTGTCAGCATTCCTAGCAGCTGGTGGTGGAAAAATAGCTGCTGAGGAAGCCAGCTCGGACTCACTATATTAAAATAAAACTTAAAAAAAATCTTACTTTTCTATCTTATTTTCTTTTCCCATAGGTATTTGCTTTGTTAAATGAGCAGTTCTTTCCAGCATATCAGTGTTCTGTGCAGGGGATGGGAAGATGCTAACTGAAGTATCTATCTAGACTTCATCGTAAGAAGAACAAGTTGTAGGGATCTAATGCGAGCAGTTATGCTAATCATTACAGACTGTGCAGAAATCAAATCTTGAGTAGATTCAGTCTTTCCAAGTTATATGATTTTGAACAAAAGATGATTTGAACTTTATCTGTGTGAGGTTGGGAGTCACTGTGTGAGGAAGGCTATTATCTGGTTTGCTTTCTGATGTGATAAAATACTCTGACCAAAATTAACTTGGGGAGGAAAGGTTTTGGCTTACATTTCCAGGTCACAGTCCATCATTGAGGGAAGTCAGGGCAGGAAGTCAAGCAGAGACAGGAGCAGAAATCATGGAAGACACTGCTTACTGGCTTATTCCTAGCTCACTTTAATAGCTTTCTTATTCACTCATCCAGCCTAGTGATAATGAAGCCCACAGTGGTCCTCCATCAATCATCAGTCAGGACAGTGTCTCAAAGACATGGCTACTGGTCGGTTTGACCCATAAAAATTCCTCGGTTGAGGTTCCCTGACTCTAGGTTGTGGAAGAAGACTAGGGCCATGCTCTAACTTACATGTTTTCAAGGCCGCTCTGGAATCGGGGCTGGGATTGCAGCAATAGTGTGAACATGGTGAGAAGTGGGAAGAATGCCCTGCAGGAGGATTGCAGGATGGGTACCGCATGTCGGCAGTATTAAGCAAATGTGATCGTTATGGCATTCTATTAAAGAGCTGGGCCGGGAATTAAGGACCAAGTGGCCACAGTGGGGTGGTGGGAGCAAAAGGGAAGCCAGTGTTCCCTCTGCTTTTCTAGCGCTTTCAGCTCCCTCCCCACTCTGCCTGTGATCGGGGTTCAGTCCTGCTCCCCTGAGCTCCCTTAGGCTCCATGAGATGTACAAAGTTTTCCATGTGGGGAGTTGGGGACCCCCTGAGCAGGGAAGGAAAGGTATTTCTGAACTTCACTGTTCTCAGCAGGCAATGAAGTTACTCTGGGTGGCATCTGGGAACAGCACACCCAGATAAGGGGTGTAGAACGGGAACCTTGGTGTCTGTAGGAGACTGAACGGAACAAGAGAGACCAGAGCCAATCAAGTGGGTTAAAAGGTGGTTGCAGTTGTGTATCTGAGAGGTCAAAGGCCTGGACCAAAGGAGGCTGCACTGGAGGAAGGGATGTGAGAGGCTGTGATTGGTGGCTGGCCTTGGGTAGTGGGTGCAGAAAGGATGGATGGCCACCATGTATCAGAACACCTGAAGGGAAGAGGAGAAAAGAAGCAACGTGGCTTAACTTAATTCATGGGGCCTATCATTCCCATGTGTGTGGCTGAAAATCTGGTTACTGGAATTGGCACCCAGAGCCACTTGGAAGGCAGGTAGAGAAACTAGGCATGTTCAGCAGGATTCAGAAACAAGAGAGGGGCCTGGTAGCCGGAAGTTTCTTTGGACTTATCTCTCCCACCCACGTCCCTCAGCCGCTTGGTCCCAAGTGAACACACAGATGTTTTTATTATTTACAAACTGTATGGCCTATGGGTCAGGCTTCTTCCTAGCTAGCTCTTATAACTTAACCCGTTTCTATTAAACTATGTGTTGCCACAGGGCCATGGCATTACCGGTCTGCTGGCATGTGGCTCCTTTGGTGGTGGGCTGGCATCTCCTGGACTCCACCCATCTTCTCTCATTATCTCTCTTGGATTTTCCCACCTGGCTCCATCCTGCCCTGCCATAGGCCAACGCAGCTTTCTTTATTATCCAGTGGGAGCCACACATATTCACAGCCTACAGAAAGACATTGCATAGCAAGGACTGGGGGTTCTAGGAGTGAATCTGTAAAGATCATGGTGACCGAGGAAGTAAAAGTAGGCTGCAGGTTACAGCCAACTCCAGGGAGAGCATCGCACTCTCGTGTGTGATCTTCAGAAATGTTTCTGCCAAGGCCTGTTTGTGCTGGGACTCTGAAAGATAGCTCAGCCACTGCTCGTGAAATAACCATCGCCAGTCGTGGACACATGAGCTTCCCTTGGAGTTGCAGCTGCTCTCAGCAGGCTCTGGAAGACAGTCACAGCTGAGTGTGTGCTAGTGCAAGCCGCCTCATGCCCGCTAACTAAACTTTCAGGTGTTGTTTGTGTTAGATTATTTAAGGCAAGCTGCCGAGAGACAGAAGGCGGAGAGAGAGAAAGAGGCCCCATCTGATCTTACGTGGACTATGTTTATTCATCGTGAGGAGGAACTTTTGCCAGTCATTTGTGCAAAGAGCCAAAATGCCTACAGAAGAAGATGGGATATGGCCCCTTATAAAGGCAGAAATGACTTTCATGCCCTATGCCCTCCTTTTCCGGAACTGCTTGGCCTGGCTGCAAGGGAAGCTGGGAAGTGTAGTCTTTTATCAAGAAACTGTCAGTTTGGGTCTGAGAGGCCTGAAAGGGCACGTGCAGTCAGTGCTGTACAGCAGAAATGGGCAGATGCAGCCACACAAGCCCCTGTTTGGTGCTTTGCTCTGTGGTGCACTTGGTTCTTAATTTCCTGTCACATCTGTTCAGTCACCAACTCAAATCATGGAAGCCGGGTTCAGTGGCTTGAGTTGTATAGTTTTACGTCTCTTCTCAGCATAGCCTCCTTTACAAGAGATTATGCAGGTGACTTTTAAAAAGACATGCAGAGGTAAAAATGTTTAGTTTCTGTTGTTGTTTGTTTTTACTCTTATGGGGGGCCTGCCACCCAGCTCCCAAATAAATCATACACAGAGGCTTATTCTTAATTATGAACGCCTGGCCTTAGCTTGGCTTGTTTCTTGCCAGCTTTTCTTAGCTTAAATTATCCCGTCTATCTTTGGCTCCGAGGTTTTCCTTTTCTGTTCCTAAATACCTTTCTTTGTTTCTTACTCGGTGGCTTACTGTGTAGCTGGATGGCTGGCTGTTTCTTCTTTTCCTCCCAGATTTCTCCTTCTATATGTTCTCTCTGCCTGCCAGCCCTGCCTGTCCTTTCTCCTGCCTTGCTCTCGGCTGTTCAGTTCTTTATTAGACCATCGGGTGTTTTACACAGGTACAGTAACACAACTTCACAGAGTTAAACAAATGGAACATAAAAGAATGTAACACACCTTAAAATAATATTCCACATCAGGTTTCCTCTGCAGATCTTTAGCAAGCGAGCTGTTCACTTAGCGTCTATACCACTTGGCTGCTACGCTGTCAGTTAGGGCATGGGACAGCATGCTGGCCTCTGCAGCCGCATCTTCCTGCTCTTATAAAGACAGTGGCTTGTATTCCCTCCTTAGGTTTGAAGATCATGACTTTCTTTATGAAAAGAGGTTTAATAACATCACAAGGTCATCCTCTCTTACACAGTTGCCGCTTCGTTCTGTGGAGAGCTGGGAGAAGGCCTCCCACCCTTAAGCGGATGCTTCAGCTGGCTCACCTCAGCTGCTGAGGTGTGAGTCGGTCACTGGACTGCATTCTGATGCTTGGCTCTACAGATCAGTTACCATAAATCTCTCGTCACAGGCCGTGCTGAAAGGGGTTGCTTGTGCAAATAGTTCTAGGATACAGTTTTATTCACTTGGTATTAATTCATTGTTTCCTTTGACTAAACAAGGAAAAAAGTGATTTATAAGTTTTTTTTTAAGTAGAAACACATTTGTGTAAATAATAAAGGTGATTTTTTTCCTAAACAAAATAATCTTGTACCACTATGTCTCATTAATTACTTAATATTTGCATAACTTTTTTTTTCTCTTCACCTGGACTGTGATTTTTTCTGAAAAAGCAAAGTTCTTCTGTATTTTTTGTTTTATTTTATAATTTCCACCATGGGATTAGGCCTAAAATATGCTATTTCATAGTGAATTTGCTTGGGCTGAAACTCAAATGTAGTGGAAAATTGACATTTCATAGCTTTAGAGTTTCATTTAGATTCAGGGGGAATTCAGTACTTAATCACCTTATGTCCATATCCAGTTTTGTTCATATAGATCAGGTATGTTAGGGTTATCCTGTGATGGACTCTGGGGAGCAGCACTTGGTCCCCTGAACTCAGCTGATGCACTGTGAAGAGGTACTGGATAATTGATTCTAAAGAACAATGGTTGGTAAAGGATTGTGTATCTTTGGCTCTGTCAACACCGAGTTACTGACATAATTTCACTCGTGACATAAAGACAGTATCATTTCCCCCCTTATTTCCCATCGTTTAGTAGATAAGTTTGAGCATCCAGTCCTAGGAGTAATTGGGTGTTTGTTTTTCAAAGGTCTCATCAGAAAGTGGAAGACTCAGAAGAAAGCAGCGACGAAATTCTTGCTCGGCTAACATCTGCGGTAAGACAATTACTCTACCCGATGGGAGAAATAATGTGATCAGGTCACAGGAGGGTGTGGACTGACGAATCTCTCCTGCCCTCCTGTTCCTGAATAACCAGTCAGAGGCTTAATACTAATTACAAACTGTTTGGTCCACGGCTCAGGCTTCTTGCTAGCTAGCTCTTTCATCTTAAATTAACCCTTTTCTATTAATCTATGTTTTGCCATGTGGCCGTGGTGTTATGATCTGCTGGCATGTTGCTCCTTGAGTGGTGGAGTCTCCTCAGACTCCACCCTTCTTTATCTGCACCTTCAGTCTGAATGTACCGCCTGACCTTATTCTGCCTTGCCATTGGCCAAACAGCTTTATTTATCAACCAATGAGAGCAACACAGCTTCACTGTGTACAGAAAGACATCCCTCAGCAGGAGGGAGGCAGTTTGGGTACAGCTGCTTATCACTGTAAGAGGCCCAATGCGAGGTACTAGCAGGTTGGCTTGACTGAACCCCACTCTAGCCTCTGGCCGTATCACAGACACTTCTGGTGGAAGGTGTACACAGCCTTCCGTGCAGTGCCCTTAGCTCCTGGGCTTTGGAATCCAGTGTGACTTAACCTAGAGACAGTGGTAACTTGCTACACAAAAGGGAAAATACTCTGTTTCTTTAGGCAGAGAAAGGAACTGTGTTAGGCAACAAAAGGCGTATGATATTACAGTGTTGTCACTATATTTTGTAAGGCCGCCGAAAAAGAGTGTCAGTGGCTTTGCTGGTTGAAGACCAATTCATGACTTTCTTTGTTGTAAAAGCTGGCGGTCAATGCTAAATTTATTTATTTATTATGTTTGAGAGGGTCTCACTGTGTATCCTTGGCTGGCCCAGAACTCACTGTACTGTAGACTGGGTGGCCTTGAACTCACAGTGATTTGCTTGCCTCTGCCTCCAGAGTAATGGGATTCAAGGTGTGTGCTTGGCCCTGTGGATGTTCATCTTTAAGCTCGTTTTTGACAGGCTCTAGAAACCTCAGGTATTTAAACCTTCATGCGTTTGGCTTGGCGGTTTCTGAGAAGCCTTTCCAGCCTCCCCGGAGATTCTTCCGTGCTGCTTTTGTACCGTTGTCCTAGTTTGCATCTCCTTCTTTGATCGGCACCACGACTGGAAGCAGCTTGGGGAGGAAAGGGTTGAAGGGTTTATTTTAGCTTATACTTTATAGTCCCTCATCAGGGAAGCAGACGCTCAAGTTGGGAACCTGGTCATAGGGACTGAAGCAGAGACCACAGCGGAACACTGCGTACTGGCTTGCTCCACCAGGCTCATGCTCAATGAGCTTTCTTACATGCCCCAGGCCCTGTCCAGGACTGACACTACCCACAGTAGCTGAAGCACGTCTACATAAATTAACCATCAGCAAAATGCCCCACAGACATGTCACAGACCAATCTGATGGATACAATTCCCCAACTGAGGTTCCTGCTTTCCAAGTATATCAAGATGATAAGCCAAGATTAGCCCTGACACCCCTTAATAAAATGCTAATTGCAGAAAATCATGCTTGGTTGGGTTGTATGGGGATGAAACTGTCTGCATGGAGTGTGATATACCAGATCTTGACACCTGGACACAATTCAATGGACGAAAATTCTTTACTACTCAGGAATGAGTTTAAAAAAGTAATTTAAGACTTCATATGGTAAGCTTTGATACAGAGCCTCACATGAAAGGAAATCTTGACAGTGTGTTAGGAAAATATTTAACAGCACACTTCTAGGTTAAAATATAAAGCAAAGAGGAGTGCTTGTTTTATACAAAACAATAATTACCATCTAAAAACCTCACTAAGTCTGATGCTGTGATAGGTTTACCGTCTGTGCATGTGTGTACATACTCTGCTAAGATGCACAATAACACTGTGCAGCAGCTGGCACCATTTCTATTTTATAGGTAGGAAAGCTAGTATATGTCATTTAACTCCACACTAAAGTTTGAGCTAAAGAGAAGCAGAAGCAGAATTTCTCTTTTGCAATTTCCCAGGAGAAGAGGCTATTACAACCAGCTACCTACTTACCATAGAGTATCAATTTCTCAACAGCTTCTTTTCCTGTTTGGTGTCTGTGGTAGTTGAATACGACTCCCCTTTCCCCATAGGCTCATATATCAGGGAGTGGCACTACTTGAGAGGGGTTAAGAGGTGTGGCCTTTTTGGAAGAGGTGTGTCACTAAGAGTGGACTTTGAGGTTTCAGAAGCCCAAGCTAGGTCCAGTGTCTCTTTCTTTCTGCTGCCTATGGATCCAGAACTATTATCTACTTCTCTGACACTTTGTCTGTCTGTATGCCAGTATGCTTCCTGCCATGATGACAATGAACTAAACATCTGAGACTATAGTCAAGCCTCAGTTACATGTTTTCCTTTATAAGAGTTGCCATGGTCATGGTGTCTCTTCATGCAATAAAACACTGACTAAGACAGAAGTTGGTACCAGGAGTGGGGTATTGCTGTGACAGGCCTGACCATGCTGCTTTTTGGCAGAAGTAAACTTTGGGACTTTGAATTAGAAAAGTAGTTGAGAAGCTGGGTGGTGGTGACACATGCATTTAATCCCAGCACTCAGGAGGCAGAGGCAGACAGATCTCTATGAGTTTGAGGCCAGCCTGGGCTACAGAGTAAGTTCCAGGAAAGGCTCCAAAGCTACACAGAGAAACCCTGTCTCAAAAACATCAAAAAAATCTAAAAAACAAAAAGAAAAGCAGTTGAGTGTGTTAAGCCAGGCTTAATGGGCATGCTGGTAGGCTCATGGAGGACAGAGGTGCTAAGAAAAATGTAGATTATAATAGCCCAGTTCAGGAGGTTTTTGAGGAAAATATTAGTAAGTGGCCTAAAGACCATTCTTGTAATATTTTGGCAAAGAATGTGACTGCTTTCTGTCCTTGTCCAAAAAAAATCTGTCTGTGGCCAAATTGAAGAGTTGAGGATTAATAGCATTTCCAGAGGAGATTTTAAGATAGCCAAGAATTGACTGTGTTATGTGGTCATTAGTGATCACTCTTACACAGATCTATAATGAAAAGGAGCTATCTGAGCAAGGAAAAGTATAAAATGTACAGTTTGAGGAGAAAAGGAGCATAGAAAATGTAATAGAGCTAAGTATGGTGCTCAGGGAGATTTTAAAAAAAAATTAAAGAAAAGCCTGATGCTAAATGGAACAAAGGGAGTGGCAGTTTCAGGGCAAGACCCCACCCAGGTGGGGTTCCAGTTCTGAAGAGGAATTAAAGGGCAACACCCCACCCAGCTAGGGTTCCAGTTCTGAAAAGGAATTAAAGAAAAGCTTAAGAAATGAAGGAAAATGTAAAAGAGAGAGACAGAGGAGACAGAGAAAGCTGATGAAAATGGTTTTGAATGAGGGGGCTAAGTTTCAGCCCCAGCAGGCAGCAGAGCTTGGCAGCTTCAGCCACATGGTTCACATGGTTCTGGCTTTAGAGTCAAGGATAGGAAAGGGGCTTTGGTCTCTTCCTCCATGACTAAGGAAAGCTACTGAGTCCAGACATATGTCGGGGTGTCCCTTCATGGAGATCTAGAGAGGCTATTGCCTGAAGCTGTGACGTGGAAGCCTGGATTTTCTTGAAGATCCCAAGATGTTAGATGTGCCAGAGCCATGGGGTACCTGCCAGGGAAAGCTGCTAACAGGGAGTGGAACCAGCCCAAAAGAGAGAAGTGCATGTTGCTGTTTATTGTTCTAGTTGGTGGCTTGAACCTGGGAGAGTGGGGACTAAAAATGAGGCAGACTAAAGTCTTATGCAACATAAGAGGTTTATAACTTTATTGAGAGCATCATACAATTTATACTCTGAGTGTTAAGAAGAATCACATGAATAAAGTGTTCAATCACAAGGACAAGCCACATGTGGCAAAAACATGTTTTTCTATAGAGGCGTATGAATAACAACAGCTAAAGTAAACTCACTCCTATCCAGTATTCCCATGAGGGAGGGGCACAAAAGCTCATTCCAAGAACAATTCTGTGTTTTTGAAGAAACCGAGGCCACAAGACTCATGTCTTGTTTTCTTGGAGTTTCTCACAAGCACTCAGAAATCTCCTTACACAACTCTATTCTTGGACCATGTCTCTACATATTGCAGTCCACAAAGCTGAAAGAAATTGGTGATTTAAAGAGCACCTTCACATTAGACATGGAAATTCAGTATCTGGAGTTTGCCCTGCTTTGTTTTCAGTCTTGTTTGGTCCAGTATTTCCTCACCATGCTCCCTTTTTTCCCTTTTGAAATGGTAATATATGGTTTATGCCATTGTATGTCAGAAGTGTGTGATCTGCTTTTGCTTTTACAGGGGCTGTAGCCAGAAGTTTCTTGGTCCCACCGGGCCCTGTGGTCCCTCAGCCACTTATAAAATAATCACTCAGAGGCTTTTATTACTTACAAACTGTATGGCCTATGGCTTCAGCTTCTTGCTAGCTAGCTCTCTCATCTTAAATTAACTCATTCCTATTAATCTATATGTTGCCACATGGCCATGGCATTACCGGTCTGCTGGCATCTTGCTGCTCCTTTGGCAGCAGGCTGGCATTTCTCTGTACTCGGCCCCTCTTCTCTCTGTATCTCTGCTTGGCTTTCTGGCCTGCCTCTAAGCTGCCTTGCCATAGACCAAAGTAGCTTATTTATTAGCCAACCAGAGCAACACATATTCACACTGTACAGAAAGACACCCCACAGCAGAGGGTTACATTTAAGAGATTGCCTGGAGTCTCAGAAGAGACTGGACTTTTAAACATGGTTGAGACTGTTGGAGACCATGGGGATTTTTGAAGTTAGATTGAATGCATTTTTGCATTATGATATGACTCCAAACCCATGGGGGCCAGGGAGTAGAATGTGGTGGTTAAGTAGGATTCCCCCCTCCCCATAAGCTCATATATTTGAATGCTTAGTCATCAAGGAGTGGCACTACTTGAGAGGGATTAGGAGGTGCGGCCTTGTTGGAGGAAGTGTGTCACTGGGGGCTCAAGCCA